TTTCACCAAAATGAACTCCTAAACAAGATCATGTTCATTATACAATGAAGTGTTACTTTTAAAAAATGATAAATACAAATTCTGAGTTTTGAAAGATTACATACTTGTTTTTTAAGACAGAGTCTCACTCTGTTGCCCAAGCTGGAGTGCAGTGGCGTAATCTCAGCTCACTGCAACCTCCGCTTCCAGGGTTCAAGTGATTCTCCTGCCTCAGCCTACCAAGTAGCTGGGATTACAGGCGTGAGCCACCATGCTCAGCTAATTTTTGTATTTTTAGTAGAGTCAGGGTTTCATCATGTTGGCCATGGCTGGTCTCCAACTCCTGGCCTCAAGTGATCCGCTTGCTTTGGCCTCCCAAAGTGCTGGGATTACAGGCATAAGCCACCACACCCAGCTGATTACATACTTCTCACCAAGATATTTTTACAAAGCTGAACAATAATAAAAGATAAGCACTGGTTTGTAAACAATGGACAAAAATTGCTTTTGAAAAGCACTTATATTTCATGTGAACCAGGTTAAAAACTAACTGAAAAGAAAATCCTAAAGGTAAACATTTTAGAGTTTATTTTTGTAGAGGTGGCCACAGATATAGAAATAGCAAGGTCCCTGGGGTAGTCAAATTCAAAGAGACAGAAAGGAGAATGAGTGCTGCCAGGGGCTGGAGGACAGCTGACGGGGAGTTGTTGAATGAGTAGAGTTTCAGTATTGAAAGATGAAAAGAGTTCTGGAGACTGGTTGAACATCAATGCAAATGTACTTAACACTACTGAACTATGTATTTTAAAGCAGTTAGGGCTGAGCATGGTGGCTCATACCTGTGATCCCAGCTCTTTGGGAGGCTGAGGCAGGTGGATCATTTGAGTTTGAGATCAGCCTGGCCAACATGGCGAACCTCCCGTCTCTACTAAAAATACAAAACTTAGCTGGGTGTGGTGGTGCACCCCTGTAAGCCCAGCTACTTGGGAGGCTGAGGCAGAAGAATTGCTTAAGCCCAGGAGGTGGAGGTTGCAGTGAGCCGAGATCACACCACCGCACTCCAGCCTGGGCCACAGAGTAAGACCCTGTCTCAATAAATAAATAAATAAATAAATAAAAGTTAGGATGGCAAATTTTTTGCAATGTGCATTTTACCACAATTAAAATTTTTTAAAAGTTTAAACAAGAAATAGCATGAAGAAATATGTTTAAAAAATAAAAAAGAGAAGAAGAAACAAATAAAAATATAAACAGTACAGGATTGTTGTGCTCCCTGGGAGAAGAGAGAGACAAAAAAGAAGGGCGTGGCCTCAGCCCCACTCTGTGCTCAGGGCGAGACCCAGGCCTCCCTCTCCCCTTACCTCCTGTCTCTGGGCGCTGCATCCTCCGTGCTCCGGCCACCGGGCCTTTCTCTGCCCCTCCAGGGCAGTGTATTTCCATACTGAGGCCTCTGAGCCTTCTATTCCCTGTACCTGATGCTGTTTCCTCAGATTGTCACACAACCAATATTTCTTGAGCGTGTACTGTGCGCCAGGCACCCTGCTAGGCATTTTGAAGCACTCAAGTGAGCTGCCTTTTTGGAGCTGCTGTTCTAGCAGACAGTAAGCAAAACCAAGCAGGGTGAGGGGGACTGAGAGTGGCAAGGGGTGCGTAGCAATTTTATTTATTTGTTTGAGATGGGGTCTCTCTCTGTCACCCAGGCTGGAGTGCAGGGGCGCCATCTCGGCTCACTGCAGCCTCTGCCTCCCTGGTTCAAGTGATTCTCCCACCTCAGCCTCCCAAGTAGCTGAGACTACAGGCACCTTCTACCGCACCCAGCTAATTTTTATATTTTCAGTAGAGATGGGGTTTCACTATGTTGGCCAGGCTGGTCTCAAACTCCTGACCTTAAGTGATCCTCCCACCTTGACCTCCCAAAGTGCTGGGATTGCAGGCATGAGCCACCATGCCTGGCCTGTGGGTAGCATTTTAAAATAGAATCACTGGGCTCAGCAGCATGAAGAAGGTGACCTTTGAGATGGGAAGCAGGCAAAGAAGTTAGTTGTGCAAACATCTGGGGGAACCACTCCAGGCAGATGGAACCGTCAACCCCAAGCCATAGGGCAGGACCTGCTGTGTAACCGGCCCAGAGTTCAAGTCAACAATCAGACCTAATGAAATAATTAAAGGTGCTCAACTTCATGAGTCATCAGGAATATGCAAATTAAAACCACAATATGGCACCTCTACAATGCACCAGAGCAGGGAAAATGGAATAAACATCACTGACACTGACGAGGACAAGGAATAAGTGTAGTTTCAGCCCCTGCTGGATATAAACTGGTATAAACCACCATGGGAGACTCTTTGGCAATGTCCACTGAAGCTGAACACAGGGCCACCCTATGCCCTAGCGATTCCATGCCCAGGAATACGCCCAAGAGAATGGCATCCATATGTTCCCCAGAAGACACGCACATGAATGTTCATAGCAGCACCATTTATAAGACTCAAAAATGGAGGCTGGGCATGGTGGCTCACACCTGTAATCCCAGCACTTTGGCAGGTGGAGCGGGGAGGATCACTCGAGGTCAGAAGTTTGAGACCAGCCTGGGCAAGATAGCGAGACCTCATCTCTACAAAGGATTTTAAAAAATTGGCTGGGTGTGGTGGCACATGCCTGTAGCCCCAGCTACTTAGGAGGTTGAGGTGGGAGGATCTCTTGAGTCTGGGAGGTTGAGACTGCAGTGAGCTATGATTGTGCCTCTGTACTCCGACCTGGGTGACAAAACGACATCCTACCTCTAGAAAAAACAAATTGAAAAAGCTTGGTCCCTCCATTTTAAACACTGAGATGTCATCGATGAAACTACTTTAGAAGTCTATTCAGCCCTCCTCTATCAAGGCAATCACATTTTCATGATAGCTCGTTGGGGGGTGGAAATGCCTACTACAAATGCCATCTGTGATTGAATGGAAGCAAATCATTTTGGGGACAATTCTGATTTTAGTGGCAAGGAGGTATCTGAGCTAAGAGCTGCCAGGAGGACTCTCACCCACGAGAAAACTAGCCCTCCAGGTCATTCCAATACTTCACTGTCAAATCTCCCTTTGCCTGTTCCAGCAGCTTTATTCATAATAGGTAAAGATTGGAAACATCCCAAATCCCCGTCAGCAGGAGACCGATATACACATTGTGTGTGGTATGTGCTTATCATGCAATACGACTCAGTGCTTCTAACAGGGCGGGAGGTGGGAGGACAAGTGAGGACAAGCGTGGAGTCCCCACATGGCAGAAAGGCAGAGGATCAAACAAGCCCACTCCTGCAAGCCCTTTCTACAGCATCCCGAATACATTCATGACTCAAATACCCTCATAAAGGCCCCACCTCCCAACATTGTTGCAATGGAGATTCCAATGCCTGAATTTTGGGTGACACATTTAGTCCGTAGCACTACCTACCACATTTCTTGCTAATATACACATCCTTTTAGGGAAGATCTTTGGACATCACCTTTTTTTTTTTTAAAGACAGGGTCTTGTTCTGTCACCCAGTCTGGAGTGCAGTGATGTGATCACAGCTCACTGCAGCCTCAAACTCCTGGGCTCAATTGATCCTCCCGTCTCAGCCTCCCAAGCACCTGGGACTACAGGTGTGCATCACCACACCCAGCTATTGTTTTGTTTTTTTTTTTTTTTTTTTTTTTGTAGAGACAGGGTTTTGTCCTGTTGCCCAGGCTGGTTGGACATCATGTTTTGATCACATTTCTGGCAGTTTTTAAGATTACATTCCTAGAAATGTTGGTGAATTGATGGGGGACAAAAACGTTTGTTTCCCCTTGAGAGGCAGTGGTACAGGAGAGAGGTTAAGGGCATAGACCCTAGAGTCACACTGCCTAGGGTTGAATCCTGGCTCTGCCACTCACTGGCTACAAGACCCTGGACAAGTCATGTCCTCTGTCTCTGTACATGAGCATAATAGCAGTACCTGCCTCACGGGGTTGTTGAATAGGTTCAATGAGCTAATATATAAGAAGCACATGGTATATGCTATCAAGTGTTTTCTTCTTCTTTTGCTTCTCCTCCTCCGCTCCTGGTATTATTATCATAATGATACAATTCTCATTTGTTCTTTCTGTAAAATGGAGTTTGATGTTGGAGCTGCTTCCCAGGCAGTCAGGCGGGGCAGTCACTGAGAATGAGGAAGGTGTTTCTGACTCAGCTGTGGGCGGGCAGCTGCAGTGACACAGTCGAGTTTTGGCAAACACTTCTCATGTACGAAGTCTGACCCTGGAGTCTTGAGGCTGAACTTTTCACCAACAAACAGGAACACATTCATGAACATTACCTCAGAGTGCTGTCCTCTGGAGGCCATCTGCATAGCCTAACTATGCCACCCGGGCTGGACCATTATGGGGATTTCTCTGATGTCCCTGATACTACCACCCCAATTTGAATTTAGCAGCTCCCTTCACATCTGGTTAGATCGTCTTTAAAAAGAATTTTTTTTTTTTTTTTAGAGATGGGGTCTCACTGTGTTGCCCAGGCTGGTCTTGAACTTGCAGGTGGGCTCAAGCGATCCTCCCACCTCAGCCTCCCAAAGTGCTGGGATCACAGGTGTGAGTCACTGCACCCGGCCTAGATCTCCTTTTTCAAACGTAAGCAATTATGCTCCGGTTCAGGGTTATTCGTGCCTGGGTCCCCCTCCCAGACCTAGTTGCTATGGACAGCCAGCTAGTCTACATCCTGCATCCCGCAGCCCCTGTGCAGCGTTAACGAGCCAGAAACGCTGTTTGCTGCTGAGTTCCGTGGAACCCCCTGGGGCATTTTCCTGACTACCCCCAGTGTGGCCAATCCGTGTCCTTTGGGGACGAGCGTGACTCCAGGAAAATACATAAAGTAACTCTGTGCCAAGTTTGGTGAATGAATTGAGCCATGCCAATTCTGTCCTATAAATAAGTTTACAAGACTGGTTTTCTTGCGTGGTTCATAAGCCAGGTCTAGCTGCCACTCCCCCAGAAGCCTTCCAAAAAGTATTTTGAGCAGGGCCTTTAGGCCGGGGTGGTGGAGTCCCAAGGCCAAGGCTGACCGCGCTGCTGTGGGCCCGGCGGACGTTCCAACATGGGGCTGTAATGCCACGATTGGCCGCAGGAGGGGGGCCGTATTCCAGACCCCACTGCAGAAGCCTCCGCAACTGCTCCAAGAACTTTGTTTTATACAGACTGGCGGCGAGAGCAGCTGCAGTTCGCATCTCAGGCAGTACCTAGAGGAGCTGCCGGTGCCTCCTCAGGACATCTCCTGGTCGCTACCCAGGGCCAGGCACCAAGGACAGGGAGTCCCAGGCGCACACCCCCATTCGGGGTCCCCCAGGCCCAGACCCCCACTCTGCCACAGGTTGCATCTTAACCTGGTCCTCCTGCAGAAGTGGCCCCTGTGGTCCTGCTCTGAGACTCGTCCCTGGGCGCCCCTGCAGCCGCTTTCTATGACTCCATCTGGATTTGACTGGCTGTGGGGACGCGGTCCGAGGGGCGGTCTGGGTCTCAGCGTGGTGGCAGCCAGCTCTCCGGCCACCATGGCGAATGCCAGGATCTGAGGGGACAAGGCTCTACAGCCTCAGCCAGAGGCACTCAGGTGAGTCTTGGCACTAATTTTGTCCTATCATCTGGGCATGCTGTCTCAAAGGCAGCTGGAGGAGACTGGAATGAGCTGGATGGAGTTTGGGAAACTTCAGACGTACACCCTGAAGGTGCCTTCTCCAGGTGGGAAGGCCCCTGCTAGCTGGGCCCGCAGATATCTGCTGGGCCCTCATCCAACTGCCTGGGCCGGAGAGAGTGTGAGCCTGCATTTGGGGTGCCAGAGGGAAGCTATTGCCTTGGTGACAACTCCACCTGACTCACGTCACAGTCCCAGAGCCTACTCAAGGTGCAGATGGCTCAGGTGACAGCTCCTCTCCGTGGCTTCGTGTGTGTGCGTGTGTGTGCGCGCATGTGTGTGTGTGCATGTCTGTGCGTGTGCATGTGCCAGTGGTTGGATATATGTGGGGAGAAGTTATTTCTAAAACATCTGTCTCTGTCCAGCTTTGGGTTATGATTTAGCTTAACTAAGTACAGTTAGGGGAGGAAAACATTTAAAACCTACTTAGCAATTCTCTCTCTGGAGAAGGGCCACACTCATGTGATTTTTTTCCTTGGTTTTGATGAGTTTAAAGTGAGGTAATCCAAAGAAAAGCCGTAAAGCCTGCAGAGTTCGATGCTGGTACCCAGGGAAACTGACTTGGGAGCAGCAAGTGAGGCTCGCGCTACCCAGAGGAGAAATTAACGGAGTCCTTCTGAGGTCCAGAGAAGGATTGAAGAGCCAGGGTCCAGATATCAGCCCTGGAGTGCATTTGCAATTGCCTTTTTCAAAGGGAACTTCAAACATCTTTGTTTCTGGGACTGGCTAGGTAGGAGGGAGGCCTTGGGAACCTGGACACCCCCCTACCTGGCTGCCAGACAGGGTCAGAAGATGCTGGGGGGTGCTTGTTCTCATCAGACTCTGCCACCAGCTCCCCTGAGTGACCTTGTTCATAAAGTCATGCCACCTGCATTATCTCATGGGAGGCTCACAGTGACCCTGGGAGACCAGCATATACCAACCTTCCCATTTTATAGGTGATGCACCTGAGGCTGAATAAGGTCAGGTGATTCAGCCAAGTTCCCCAAGAAACCAATAAACAGAGGAGCTAGGATAGGAGCCCTTGGCTTCTGTGCTCCCCGCGTTCCTGCAGAGAGCCAGGCCTGCAGGGCACAGATGGCCCCAGGGCACAGGGCCGCAGGGCACAGATGGATGAGGTCTTTTCCAGCTCTAAAATGCAGAATCTAGAAGCAGATCCCTGGCCCTGAACCTGCCCTTCTAAGTGCCTTGGGTGAAATTGTCTGGAAGTAAATCATGACAGCCAAGAGGTTAGTGGAGAGGGTGTCCCCTCCCTGTTAGAGCAAGACCTCCCTCTTTGAGTTGCCAGTTGAGGTCCAGGCTCCTTGGGCTTCATCCACGGGTCACTGTGGCTTCCACATCTTGCTCATGTGCTTCAAGCTCTCAGAGCCCTGCCTCAGTCCCAGGATCCCCATCTACTGGAGTACACTGTTTGGCAGTGTGAGGTGGGATTCTCTTCTCTGCCTGATCTGGGGCCCAGAAAGGGGTCACCAAAAAAGCCTGACATACAATCCCCAGACAAAGCAACCCTACAGCTGAGCCAGTGCCCTGTGTGGGAAAACTGTGCCCAGGGCCTCTTCCCGCTCTGATATCCATTCCTTCTTTTGCCTCTTTGGTTTGGGGTGGCTTATCTTTAAAATGGGAGTGACGGAATGCAAATGCCATCAGCCTGCCCCCATCACAGTGCTCCTGGGAGGAGCAGTTGCCGTCAGTTTCATCTTCTAGAGCACAGACTTGGTCCAAAGACAATAAGATCCGCGATCTGAGGGTCCCAATGTCTGCTCCCTCCCCCAAGAAAGAAAAACAGCCCCCAAGAAAACCTGGGCAGACAGAACATGCGTAGGTCTCATTTCCAAGTAACAAACATGAGTAGAGTTGTCTGAGCTTTTCCAAGCCTGTGCACTCACATCTGGCCCCGATTGGCCCCGGCCCCTCTCCCCAGCAGCTCCCCGGGGCTCTTGCTGGACCAGCTGAGGGGTGGGGAGGAGGAAGGAGACAGGCCACCCTTCAAACACATTCTGGCTAACAAGTTGTGCATTCCAGCCCCGTCCCAGGAGCTAACCAGAAAAGGAGGAAGGTGGAAATGACAGTGGGGCCTCACACCTCCACTCCCCAGGGGCAGCGCCCTGTCTGGCTCTGTGTGGCCTCTGGGCAGTAGAGGCTATTGCCTTTGGCAGAGGGAGGGTTATTGTAGGCAAAAGAGACTTTAGCCTCCTGCTTCACAGCCCCTCAAGGAGCGACGCCAGAGGGAGGGGTGCCGCACAGAGTGCTCATGAAATGAGGGAGAGTGCCTTGCAGTTTAGCAGTGCTGGAGCTGCCCGGGGCCTCACCTAGAGGCCCTCCCTGGGTGGAGACATTGGGTGGAGGGCCGGAATTGGGAGCCCAATGAACTGGACACCACTGCAGCACAGGGAAGCCAGAGTGGGTGGAGTCTGGGGCAGGGAGGAGAGATCCTGGCAGAACTGCGGACCACCCCCTGTTCCATCCCTCCCATAGGCTGGAGGAGAGGCCTGCAGATACTGGGAGCCCCATAGCTGTGTGTGTGCACATGCATGTGTGTGCCCATTGTGGGGGATGTAGAGAAGGGCTAAGAGCAGAGGCCTCCAGCCCTCCTGGGTCATTGGAAGGACATGTATACAGTGACTGGTCAGTTCTGGTCTCTTCTTAGCCCAAATGTCAGAGCTCTCTGGCGGCCAAGTTCAAGTCATGAAAATAAAGGGTTCAGCTGGGTGCAGTGGCTCACATCTGTAATCTCAGCACTTTGGGAGGCTGAGGCCAGTGGATTGCTTGAGTCCAGGAGTTCCAGACCAGCTTGGCCAACATGGTGAAACCCCATCTCTGCAAAAAATTAGCTGGACATGGTGGCATGTGTCTGTAATCCCAGCTACTCAGGAGGCTGAGTTGGGAGGAGCACTTGAGCCTGGGAGGTGGAGGTTGCAGTGAGCCAAGATTGCACCACTGCCATCCAGCCTGGGCAACAGAGTGAGACCCTGTCTCAAAAGAAAAAAAGAAAGAAAGAAAGAAAAAGAAAAAAATAACGGAAGAAAAAAGGAAGAAACAAAATATGGAATTCATGTTTTGCTCTGCTACATGGCGACCCAGCCAGCCTCCTTCCGTGATTATGTCTATTTATGAAAGTTGCCACACCTCCTTGCCCACCCTCCCTCTGAAGAGAAACTGATTGACTGATCTCTCAATCAACAGGCATTGTCCCCGCACTGCCACCTGCCAGCCCTGCATCCTCTCCTCCCAGTCTCCTCTGGGTCGAAGGGTTGAGTTTGCTCCATACTGGGCCTGGGACCCATCCTCATGGGGCTTTTATCTTCCAAAGGATTTATTATTTAAACAAAAAAAAAAAAAGCTGTTTTTTTGCTTAAATGTCCAGATAGTTAAAGAGCATCAGAGGCAAAGGTCAAGATAAACTCATGCCTGGAACCTTGATGAAAGTAGAGAATAATTTGTGAAGTCACTGAGCATTTATGTGACAAAAACAATATCAAGTAATTGATGTAAATACTTTGTAATTTGGCTTAAAAAACAGATTCTTCTTATTACATAAGGAATGCAAATGCGTCACAGAAAACCCAGAAAATCTGAAAGCAAAAAGAAATATTAAATCCCCACAATCCCTTCCAGCCAGAGTCCTGTAATACATTTCTCACCCGGAGCCATCATAGCGTCTTACCTCCACACGCACCTTATGTGCGCATGTCTTACAAAATGGGATCGGGTTGTACACATTGTTGCGTCAACAGGCTGTTTCCTTTCAAAGAGCATAGGATTCTCCTAAGTCAATGTATATGCCCCTGGAACGTCATGGTGTAGACCCAGAGACCCAGTGAGTCAGCCTCTGGGGCCATGCAGACAGAAGCCCTCCCTTGGCCTAAAGCTGCCCAGATGCTTAGCGCCTGCGGGTCCCCGCAGAGGCTCCCTGCTCCTCGGGCCCCACCACAGTAGATGAATCCCTGCTGTGGTCCTACTGAGCCAAGCTCCTTCCAACATGCCAGCCCCATTGGATTTGGGAGCAGTCCTGGTCTGCTCAGCTTTGTTTGCAAGTGGTCTCGGTACCCGCTCTGAATGCCCCTTCGTGTCTTCCTTTCCTTCCTTCATTTCCAACACAAAACAGAAGCTCATGTCTGTCTGGCATGCCCCGGGTTTTGAGGGCTCAGAACCTGCTCGCAGGTCACATTTTGAGTCGGCAGGGTTCCCTCCTCCTGGCCCCACCCAGTGTGACCCACAGTGGCCCCAGCTCAGGATTCCAGCCTCCCTGAGAGTTGTTGAAAGGAACGGACACCTCCTACCATCAGAAAGGCCCAAGGGCCTTGGTCTTCTGAAGTCCTGAGGAAACTGGGGGTGGGGGCATCATGGTCCCAAGGACCTGGAGGATGGCACCTGGGTCCTGGTGATGAGCAGAGGTTCCCATGTTCAGGCTTAGGGTCAGGGGTGGGTGCCTTGTTCTGTCCATTTGCTTCTGTTTCCACTTACAGTTGATTCTGTCTCTCTCCCTGCCTTCGTCTTCCCTCTCCTCCCCTCTTGCCTTCTCTGCAGCTGTTGCAGGACATGATGGAGAACAAAGCCATGTACCTGCACACCGTCAGCGACTGTGACACCAGCTCCATCTGTGAGGATTCCTTTGATGGCAGGAGCCTGTCCAAGCTGAACTTGTGTGAGGATGGTGAGTGCAGCTGGCTCAGACTTGGGGCACAAGATCTGGCCCGGGGGTGGGGAGGGAGCCCTGCCCCCACCCAACCTTGGCATTGCCTTTGAGTGTTTGTGACCTCCTCATGTAATAGTGCATATATTGAACTTTATGCTTTAAAAGGTCTTTTCCATGGGTTTTCTCATTCATTCACTTCAACAAACCTGTCAGTAAGATGAGTACTCATTTTACAGATGGACAGATTACACGGCCCATCAGTCATAGGGTGGTCCAGCACGGAGCCTCCTGACTCCAAGGGCCATGCTTCTATTCCTGAGAGAGTGAGACTGGGGTCAGGCAAGGGCCTCTGAGGCAGTCAGTGCAGACCCTCTCAGGTGAGGAGAGGGGCCTCCTACCCACTTCCTGAAGCACTCGTGAGGGGCAAACCGCTCTCCAAGGTGCTCATTCTGCCAGTGGGTGCAAGGCCCTGGTCTTGCCACAGAAAGGGCTCCCCACGCCAGTGACTCAGAAGGCCCTGCATCTCAGGGGCTGCTTATTTGCTAAAACCCTGGAGATCCGAGTGATGCAGCTTCCTTTGGAGAAGCCCAGAGCGCTTTTCCATCAGTCCGGCTCCTGTGCACCCAGTAGATGACTGATAAATTCTTGCTGCACGCAGCACATGTCAGAGAGGAGAACGTTGCCCCCACATCAAAGAGAAATAAAATGAAGCTTACTGAAGAGCCTTAAAAAGACTTCTGGCCAAGGAGAGACAGGCCTTTTCCCTCTCTCGTTTCGCTCCACTCTGCCAACTGCCTCTTGAAATTACTGAAGAGTAATGACTCCACTCCTCTCTTCCTCCAACCCTGTATTCCTCCCACCAGGCACTGAGCGTAGGGAAAGAACTATGGTGGCTCAGAGAGGCAGGGAGCGGGGAGGGTCTCTGCAGGCAGAGAAGACGAGGAGATCTGGGCTTCTGACCAATGCCCTTGTTCACCGCACCCTAGGATTGTCCACCATGGTGGCTCTTCTTCCAGATTCCAATCAACAAACATACTCTGAGGATCCATGATGTGTCAGGCCAGGGTGAGCAGCCAGGAATGCTCCAAAGAGAAATTAAAACAGTCTCTTCCCTCAAAGGGCTTATGATCCCAGTAGAAGGGGCTGGCATGGGAACAACTGCCTAAAATATAAAGTAGGCTAAAATGTGTGTGAATAATGAAGTCAGGCGGGCAGAGGGCCTTCTGGAAAAGGGCTGGAAGACTGAATAAGATTGTCTAAGAGAAGAGGTGGGAAAGGTATTCCTAGTTGTGTGACACCAAGTTGAGTCAGGGTTTCTGTAAGGCTCATGCCACTTGGGCAGAGAAGGCCTGGGGTGCTGGCCCCATGCAGAGCTCCCATCAGTCCATCAGCAAAGGGGAAGGTGGCATCTGTACTCACTGGCACATCAGCAAAGGGGCTTGATTTGGCAAGAAAGACTGGGTACAGACTGGGTGATTGGAGAGGACCATCAGGGCCAGCCTGGGGGCCCTCAGGGGTGGGAGGGGTCAGATATCCCTGGGACCACCATACCCTCTTCCCAGTACCTCATCTTACTCTCCCTTTTTCTGAACCCCAGATTTTTTTAAAGAAAAGTTCATTTGGACCAGAAGGACTGAAAATTAACAGCAACCCTAGCCACTACGCCTTCTGGGCCCCTCTGGTGTGGGGAGCTCTGTCAGAGGGCACTTTGAGAGCCATGCTAGCCATGTCCTGTCCCAGGGTTCCCTGATGCTAGGGCCCAGGTACAGGGCAGGCAGCAGAGGTTGAGAGGTGTGGAGTCCAGGCTGACTCGCGCCTCCTGGGCATGTGACCCTCTGTGGGCCTCGGTGTACTCGTCTGCCAAATGAGGATGCAGGGGGGTATCTCTGAGGTCCTATCTGCTTCTAAAATTCTGTGTGTAAAATCGGACCTGGCCATTGCATTAGGGATGTGGCCCTTTTCAACCCCAAGTCAGAATATGACGCTATGCTGGGCAAAGCATGGCTGTGGCTCCCACTTCAGCAGGAGTGAAAACTTGGGTGCTGACAATGTGCCCAGGAGGTCCCGTGCCTCTCCCCTCTTTGCTGCCCCAACCTTGGCAGGGAACCTCTGGTTCACTCACCTGGGGCTTCTCCCCTTAAAAGGGTGCTCCCCTGGCGTCCCCCAGCGTGCATCACTGCCCTGTCCCGCTTGGTCCATGCTCTCCTCCCCCAGGACTTTGCTCAGCTCTCATCTTCTCGAAGGCCTGAGTTTCCATCCCCCTTTCCCTGACTCTTTTTTCCTTTCTTCCATGGTCTGACTTCCTCTTGACTCAGTAGTCTCCTTATTTACATGTATCATTCATTATCTGTTCCCCATGGCAAGAATATAGGCTGGACCACAGCAGGCATCTCTATTTTGTTTATTGATGTCTCCCAAACCCACAACGCAGTAGGTGCTCACTAGGGATTTTTTGAATGAATGGAAGAATGGATGAATGGATGAATGAATGGATGAATGGATGAATGAATGGATGGATGAATGAAGGGATGGATGGATGAGTGAATGGATGGATGAATGAAGGGAAGGATGGATGGATGGATAAATGGATGGATGGATGAATAAATGGATGAATGGATGAATGGATGGATGGATGAATGAAGGGATGGATGAATTGATGGATGAATGGATGAATGAATGAATGAATGGATAGATGAATGAATGAATAAATGGATGAATGGATGGATGGATGAAGGGAGGGATACATGAATGGATGGATGGGTGAATGGATGGATGAATGAATGAATGAAGGGATGGATGGATGGATGAGTGAATGAAGGGATGGATGGATAGATGGATGGATGGATGGATGGATGAACGGATGAATGAATGAATAAATGGATGAATGAATGGATGGATGGATTGGTGGATGAATGGATGAACGAATGAAGGGATGGATGAATGGATGGATGAATGAATGAATGGATAGATGAATGAATGAATAAATGGATTGATGAATGGATGGATGGATGAAGGGATGAACGGATGGATGCATGGATGCATGGATGAATGGATGGATTAATGGACGGATAGATGAATGAATAAATGGATGAATGAATGAATGGATGGATGGATGAACAGAGGGGTTCTTGAAGTCTAAATATGGCAAAGCATTCACCATCTACACCTGATTGCCGAGTTCTCTGGGTCCGTCTTCATTCCTGGCTGCCAGATTGGGGGCTGGAACATGAGGAACCCAGGCAGAGTAGAGTGTTGAGATGAAGCCAGGGATTTCAAAGCTTGCGGGCTTCCAATTTGATTTTTTCCCCTCTTTCCTTCATTTCAGAGAGGAAAATGATGAGCTTGACTTGGGGAAATTCAAGCCATATTTGATCTGTTTCTAAAGGGTTTTGCTGCATCTTTGGTTCTCCTCTCTGCAGGAGTGAAATGGGAGAGGAAGAGGGAGGGTTGGGGCCAGGCAGGGAGGAGGGGGAAGGTGGGAAGAGATGAGAAAGGAAGGGAGAGCCAGCACCCCTGAACCCAGTCAGGGCTGCCCTTGGGCCCTTATTGAGTAAATGAAGACAGTGAAGTGTGAGGCCCAGGACAAGCTCCAAGACCCTTACAGAACTTCCTCCTTCAATGGAGGGTGAGAGGTGGGAGGAGGGGAGGAGAGACGGCACTTCTTGTTGGAGGCTGGCCGTGGGGATAGTGGGATCAGTGGAGGCAAAATTGCAAAAGTACAGCCTGACATGAAGGTAAGATGCGGCCTTCCCTGGCAGTGGGACCTAATGGGCCCCAGGTCCACTCTCCCACAGGCTCCCCGGTGTTCCTGCTGGGATGTGATGAGCTGTCCCGCTCACATGGCCCATGTGCTGTGGAGTGCAGGTCTCATCTTCACTGAGACCCGTGAGGTCAGGACTATGTTTTGCTCCTCTTGGAATTCTTTTGGGACCTTGTAGGTGGCAGGTGTCCAGGAAGTCTTTGTGATTGTTGGTAAATGACATGGTAAGTCCACTCAAGTCGTCAGTGGTGGAGCTGGAACCAGACTCTGAGTCTCCTTACCTGGGATGCAGGCTCCTTCCCAGGATGGGGATTTCACGGGGTAGGGCTGATGGTGCCACGAAGTGACTCCCTCACCTCTGGATTCGGAACCAGTGGAGAAATAGACAAGGAGGCACGTGGGAATCCAAGTGCAGAATCTGCCTTAAGCCTGGAAAAGCTCTGTTCACGATGTGGCCGCTGGCACCCCCAACAGACACTCACCCAGCCAGCAAGCGTGAGCGCCCCTGTCCAGGCGCTAGCCTTCACCTGGTTCGCCCACGCACGCCCTCCTGCCCATCCATCTGAGAAACAGGGACAAGAAGTGCCAGGTTACAAACAGTTCACCCATTGGACAAGGAGGCACTGCCTGGAGGCAGAAGTGCTGAGGAGTCCCTCTTTTATGGGCTTGGGCAGGTGGTCAGCCCGGAGATGAAAGGAGCTCCCTGCAGCCACCCACCAGAGGCAAGGGCAGGAAAAGCAAGAGAGGAGGTGAGGGGACACCCGTGGGCAATGCGCTGGGGGGGGGCTCGATGCCCAGGGAGCTTCCTCAGCGCAGAGGAAGGGACCCTCCCCAAGCAGAGCAGCTCCTACAGCCGCGGTTCCACTTCTGCACAGGACCCGCTCTTTTCACTCTTTCCTTCTCGCCCCTCATCTCTCTTCACCCTCCCTGCCTTTATCCCTTCCCTTTCTTCACTTGCCAGGTGATATGGGAAGAGGAGGGACTGTTGGGTGCCTTCGTTCCTCTATCCCCTCCCTGAGCAGTCACCTTGCCCAGCTCCTCCAGCTCGTCCTGTCCCTGCATCCTTCAAGGTGCCCCAGGCACCCCTTGTTCTCTGATGCCTTTGGGGCCTCCCCTCTCTGCATGCCTGGGCGGGGTCACCTCTGGAATCTACCTCCTCCCTTTAGTCTTGGTCACTGCTGTCCTCCTCGGGGCCCACTGTTGATGGAAGGCCCCGTCCTCCTCACCTCATGGATCCTGGGCAATAGCCAAGGGTCCT